CATTTAGTTATACCTGTCCCAACTGGTCTGGTTATCTAAAGTTATATCATAGTAATTTTGTCCCTTACAGTATTTTTTTTATAAGTAAACCACCCAAGGAAAGGTGTATTATAAACATACAGGAAGGAACTGTGGTTCAGAATGTAATGAAGTAAAAGTTTGACCATGATAATAAACAAGAAGATATTTTTTTTTATTACAAGTACCTGAAATTACTGATCATGAGGTGAAGTGGACTGATCATACATTCACTGACCTGACATTTGTGATAGTAAATGTTACTTATATATAACGTGTTCTCCTCTGAGAAAGAGTAAGACTGAATTGCTGTACCTTTGTTATCTATTTATTTTGTCTGGTTTTCATTCTCTACCGTGCATGAGATTCTGAACCCACGAATTCAGGAACGTGTTAGTTAATCTTGCATTTTGAAATTTTACTTTTTGCTGGATTTTTTTTATAAATCAGACTGTAAGTGATTTATTCAACCCAATATTAGGCTATCCTTTGGTAAGTAAGACTGTAAATGATATTCTGAATATGCTGAATATTTAGCATAAGCCAGGTCCTCATTTACTTGAATAATTCTTGCTCTGTCTACCTGTGACAATGTGATCCCAGTGAACATACTGCAAGTAGCATTATGTATGTTTACACTAAAGGACCAAGGTTGAGCAGGAATCGGTGTTCATCAGCCAAGATTCTTACAGATCATATGACAATATATTTGTATCTGAGAATGTGCATATTAAATATATATTTCATAAAAGCAGAATGAATGCATTTTTTTGTTGAGAACAGTGTATATATTTACATTTTCATATACTTATTACATACCCTATTGTATACGTCTTTGTCTCTTTATAGTACCTAGTATGAATATTGATGTCTTCACAAAATTCCAAAATATTTTACTGATGGGAGAATTCTGCATTTAAAGTGTATGAAAATGCATTTGCTAATAAAAACAACGAAAGTTTGTATCTGTAAGAGGAGGTTCTAAATGTAAGAACAACTTGTACAATCTTAACTATATTTTTTCAGTTTTAGCCACGCTTTTCCTGAATAATCAGCAAATTTATTCCTATAATATTATAGATTTATAATTTAATACACCTTATGGACAAAACTCCTCTGAGACCATTTACTAGAGAGCTTTTGTACTTTTGATAGATTGTATGTCAAGTCATCATGGGTATTTGACCGTCCAATATGGACATTTTACTTTGAAGATTTTTGTCATGTTGTAGTTAATGGCACCTTGTGAACAATTCTGAAACCACAAAAAACCTTTTGTGCTCAATATTGAGATTGTTTTTAATTATGTGTATTGTAAAACTAGACTTTTGACTATTTTTGCTTGAGTTGTCTGATTTCTATCGTCTTTGGCTTGTTGTAACATAATGAGACCTTGTGAAAGACCATATGTAGAGAAGCTTTCTTGCATTTTTTGGTAGAATTGTATGTCCTTATTAGTAATTTACAATTCTAGGTTGATTTTACAATTTTTAGAACTATATATATTCAAGGAACTATATATATTCACAGAACTATGTATATTCACAATATGGTTGATAATTGAACTTGCTATTTTAAATATATCATGTATATGTTGCACTTTTTTCTGTTCAATGACTGTTATAGATTTTAACAACATATGTTGTATTTTGTATAATTGTTTTGTAATTCATGAAGGTGTGCATATTGTCAGTATTAATCTCACCTGGCCCCAAGGGCTAATGTGAGGTTTTGCCGTAGCTTGGCGTCTGTTGTTGTCATTTAATAATTGGCACGACAAGATCTGGAAGAAATAGGTCAAAAAGTTGCAATTGCTAGTTTTCTACTTTATAAGAAAACTTTGAAGATTTCTTATCCAGGTTTTGCAATTTTGATAAACATCTTTAGTGGTTAGAGAGAAATTTTAAACAGAAAAATATAATTAGCACCATAAGATAAAAAAATATTTCAATCATGAATTATGTTTTATTCTATACTGATTGACAGTGGCCATTATTGAAGATGCACATTGGTCCAGGTGAGTTACACAGGCTCTTTAGGTAAATGTTATGGACTATTCACAAAGTGAAGGGTATTTGTGTTTAATCAATTTTTGATAAATTTGGTACATACATGTATGATGTTCTGTTTGCCTGCTTAAGAATTCCTAGTTTCTTTACCAAAATGTGTACGCACATACTGAAGATGTGATTATTGTCAATATTATATTTACTTTCTTCAATCCTTTAAAAAACTCAGTTATGAATAAGTAAGATTAATTAAATTTTTTGTTTAATTTGCCTTATTGTGCACCGTTTATCTGTTCAACTCTTCCAACAATTTGAAATGTACCAAGTTTCTGTTAAATAAACTGTACGTACACATACCAATGATGTGCACGTTATCAGGATTTTTAATTTAAATGTGTTATTTACAAAATGAGGAATAATCATAAATTTTGTGTTTGTATTTGCTAAAGAAAAATTGTATATTTTTAATGCATTTTTCATATATGGTGCATTCATATATGGTGCAAAGTCTCCTATTCCTAACAAAAAACCAATGTTTGGGTTTGAGCATTTCTGATGAAGGAAAATCGAGAAATGTGCTTCAGACGTACATGTATATTTTGTTTATCAATTATTTAAGTATATCTGAAATAGGTCCAAAATCAACAGTTTCCTTAATGAAAATTGTGAAATATGTAGGGGAATCATGCAGATACAGGATACTTGAAATGCAATAACAAAATAGTAGATGCAATCAATATTAAAATGATAACTAAATGTTATACCTTAATCTGGTCAATTAGCCATGGTAAGAATGAAATTGTAACCCTTACATTATAAGTCCCCTTCCGCAAAGTTAAAAGAAGACTAAATGTTTGTAATCAGTCCAAGTGTCAGTTTCCTCTGTCCATTTTAGTTTCCACACTTTTCTCAGCAATATTTTCATCTGTTCATTAGATATTTGGCATTTAGCCATATTAGTGGAAGTAACAGATCAAATTAAAGTTTAAATCTGGTGTAGCTCTTTGTGTAAAGTTTTGACCAAGTTTGACATCAAATCTGCTAGAAAATAATAAGTGTTCCGCACTTCACATTATGTTATACATAAATCAGTGATTAGATATTTGATGTATAATCCTACTATAAGGCCTTTCATATCCTGTATGAAGTTCTGTTTTTGTTGATAGTTTTCTATTTGAAGTTGTTGACATATAACATAGAAAATTGCTTAGAATTTGTTTCCCACACTTTTTTCTGTAATGTCTGAACTAGTTTTTTTAATATATTTGGTCACACCACAATAAGATACATGTTGGGTAAGAGTTTTGTTCCAGAAGAGAGATTTTTGCAGGAGTTGTGGTCATTGGACATAAGAGACAAAGAAAATTACTTGGAAATATCAGTTTTTCTGCATTTTTTTTCTGTAATGGCTGAATCAGTTTATTTGATATTTTCGTGTATAGTTCTATCATAAGAATAACATTGAGAATGGAAACGGGGAATGTGTCAAAGAGACAACAACTCGACCAAAGAGCAGAAAACAGCATAAGGCCACCAATGGGTCTTCAAAACAGCGAGAAATCCCGCACCCGGAGGCGGGCTTCAGCTGGCCCCTACACAAAAATGTGTACTAGTTCAGCAAAAATGGACGTCACACTAAACTCCGAAACATATATATGAACCAAAATTAAAAAAACACACAAGACTAACAAAGGCCAGAGGCTCCTGACTTTGGACAGGTGCAAAAATGCGGCGGGGTTAAACTTGTCTTGTGAGATCTCAACCCTCTCCCTATACCTCTATCCAATGTAGAATAAACATGCTAACACACAGCAATACGCACAATCAAACTCAGTTTAAAAGAAGTCCGAGTCCGATGTCAGAATAGGTAACAAAAGAAACTAAGCAAATTGACAATGATACATACATTAACAAAGGATTACTAGCAGTTACTGACATGCCAGTTCCAGACCTTAATTAAACTGGTTGAAAGATTATGTCTTCATCATATGAAAATCAAGCACAATCCCTCCCGTTAGGGATTTAGTATCATACCGTCATAAAATATACGAGAAGAACATAACCCGTATCAATTACGGTACTAGTTTAAGTTTCAGTCTGGTTGAGCGCTTTTTACAGGGGGTGTGGTCCATGTATAAGAAAATTAGTTTTAGAAATTTAAGCTATGAGAGAAATAAAAACATTGGGTTGGGCTGGTATATTACGAAATATCTGGATCTTTGAATAAATATTCTGACCAAATTAATAACAAGAAGGCAATTCCAACCTAAATCAATTGCAACTTAATGCTTGTCCCATACTAAAGCGTCTACACAGGAACTGTATTTTAATCAGATTGGATCAATTTTAAAATGCAATAAACTATATATGAAAAGTCTGTAAAGAGCCATTTACATTTGTCCTGAAATTAAAGTGGTTGAATAGGTTTAATAGGGATGTAGACTGGCCACCGTTGACATTTGGCATAAATCAGAGTTCAATACAGGTTCTACAGTAATAATAATCAAAAACCTTTTCAGTTATTTCTGTGTATCTTTTGACTTTTATTACGTTTTATTAATGTAAAAATTTCTCTTCTTCTAGTGATTGAGATAAAACAGGAGAAGGGTCAGTACAAAAAAACTGTTCCAGTAATCAGCATGTTTATGTGCCTATCCAAATGCAATAATATTGTCAGTGGATAGGAGATATTCTGATTTTCTGTAAGATTTTCAGGTTTTGAATTTTTTTTTCCAATTATCCCAAACTTTTGAAGACTTGGTTTGATTTTAGGATGTCATTGGGTGTGGACTTGTATCCTTTTTTGAAAGCCACTAGTAACCTTGGGATGTCTTATTTGCTAACCTACTTGTCCTCTTCATCCCCAGTGGGACATATTTGGTTAACTTTTATTGCTTGATTGCTGTACTATTGACTTTTACCCAACATATTCTGTTTATGTAAATGATTGACTGATCTACCATAATAACGTAGTTATAATTTGGCTTTTATTATGATATTAGCACAAACAATTCATTCATGAATTAAGCATAACATAGTTTTCTAAGAGCCGTTGATTTGGTTGAACATTCAGTTTTTTTTTCTGTAACAAAATAATCATGGTTTAACTTTCTTCAAAATCATGCCATCCACCATCGTGTATTGTTAGTGAGTTTATACTACATATATGTGAGTAATGTACTAAATGACTTTATTTTAAAATTATGATCAGACACACAGAATCACCAAAATGTTATAAATAATGTACATACATAATTTTCAAGAAAACTTTACAGTGTGAAGTTTTGCATCACATGATTTAGCATCTTCTGATTCACATCCCACCCATAATTGTCCCTCAGTATCAATATCTAGTGACCATGGGTATATTATCTCCATATCTTCCATAACTTTACATGTCAGTACATTTCCCTCCCCTGACAGAACATGAAATGCCTGTCTGATAAAATCATTCACTATAACATGTCCTACTGATGTTGTCACTATATCTTGAGGGTTAAATAGTTTGTTCCCTGAATTAACTTGAGGATGTCCCTGATAGGTCCACTTAACATGTCTCTCCCTGTCCAGGACCACGACCCTCCCATCGTAATCAGATGTTCTATTTATAACAAGTATGTCATTGCTAACATTAGATGTAATTCTAATAGGGACGGTAAATAATCTCTGTTTATGTTTATCATACTCATATGATTGTTTTTGTATACCATCCATCCCAAACAATATAACTTTCCTACAACTTTTGTCTGTGAGGTTGTAAGTACCCCCCTCCTCCATAACTCCCAATATAATCTCATTGTGTTTAGTGACATGTATGCCGAGTGGTATCAGTGGTGACACAGACAGAAAAGGTTTGATTTCTCCTGTCTTTGTTGTTAACAGACTGACATCAGTACTGCCAGACAAAGACAGGAGCATATCTTTACTTGCTGTAAGTGACATGTCATAAACCTGAACTGAAATGTTCTTTACAGTTCTTATCTTGTCATCAATGTTTATTTTACTTAGAGTAGTCATTTCAAAGTTAGAGATCCATGCTACTTTGTTGTTCAGTGTTAACAGTCTATGTACATAGTTTAACTTAGTAGTATAACTCTTGATAACTTGCAAGTCAATATTGGATTGTTCCTTTGTTATTGATTTGGACTGAAGTGATCCAAATAATTCTGACACAATTATGTCCACTGGAATGAAATCACTAACCTCCTGTGGTAATTGATGAAAGTCTATATTAGGAAGATTACTGCTAATTTCTTTTATGGCTTTAATAATTTTGTCTGCTCTGTTACTTTCCTTTGCTCTTTTAAATTCCAGTTCTTTGTCATTTAGAATATTTTTAGTGTCCTTGATTTTCTTCTCCGACATTTTTTGCAGTTTTTCAACATTGTTGTCAAACAATAGCTTCTTTCGATTCCCTTTCTCTTACATTTATTTTCTGTCTTGCATTGTCATATGATGAGTTACACATATCAATTGATGTTTGTAATTGTTTTGACTCATTTTCACAGAACCACATATCTTTGGAAAGTCTAGCTTGAAACATTGAAATAGCAGTAGTACAGCCTTCATTTATTTCTTCTATTTGATGTTCTATGTGAGTGTTAAGAATACATTCTTCACACACAAGTTCAATGCAATTTGAGCAGTATTGCTGACAAAATTTCTTCTTATGTCTTTCACAAGGAATATTTTCTACCTGTGTAGTTCGGGTTTTCTGACGAGTGTTAGCGGACCGAATATTTACAATCTCATGTCTCACAGAAGTTTGCACATTTAGATGAATTTTATTGCACTTTTCACACATGTATTTTTGACACTGTATGCATCAATACTGAATGTTCGTGTCAGTCTCACAAAGGTCACATTTCTTCGCTACTTGAGGTTTACTTGCTGATTGTCGACGTAGTTCCATATTGGTTAGCTTTTTAGTTCTGAATGTAAAATGTTGACATATAAACTTTTACTCCAAGGAAGTCTATTTTTTCGGGGGTAAAAAGGTTTTATTCATATGTACATTTATGAACTTTTGAATTCAATTATGTTTCCATTCTTGATTTGTACGATTACAAAATATCATTTAGGTTGAGTTTTCAAAGATTTTTTATTTATATAGCTGTGAAGTCCCTGATTCGACAGGAGTGTCAATACCTGTATATGATAAACACATGTAAATAAACTAAATAACCCAAGATATACTGTTAATTTCATTTACCTACATTCAAATATAAATTGTTTTATATTTAATATCATTTAATTTCTAAATTGGATGGTTGACAAGTTCTGAAAAGAATGTTTTGTTTTAGGTAGCAATTGAAAAGAAAATGATCTTTTTCTTTTAATTCCCGTTTCGAAAATAAACAATAGTATAGAAATGGTATATCTTTAATAGGACAATCAAATTTAATGTGTAGAGACAATGTCTTTTGTAAGAAAAATGTATAATGTCAAAAGTTTAATTGATATTATATTTATGATTGCAATTCACACCATTGACAACGATTGATATTTTAAAATAGTTATTATTATCATTTCTGTCATGTCTACTTATTTTTTCATGTAATTGTAATTTTAAAAAACTATAATCTAGCAGAACCATACATTTAAGTGACATAAAGCCTTCATAAAAGGAAAAAAAAAATAGGGGGTTTATTTTTTTCTTTATATCTACTGATTTACATCTCTTTATTTATTATGAAATACTCATTTTAGCTTCTTTTTTCAATTAAAAAAGGAAAGTGTTATATAAGGCTACACCAATTTGATTACTGTACTTGTACTTTTTTCGCGGGTACTTATTTTTGCGAATTGTGTATTTCAAACAAGTTCGCGGGTATTTATTTTCGCGATTTTTCCCCGAAAATAGAATTAAAAAATTGTTTTACAGTTATAATTATTGCCTCCTCTGTAAAGATGAACTGTATTAAAATTAAAAGCGTAAATAGCCGTCGGGTATTATGTATTAAAGTAAATGCGTAAATAGCCGTCGGGTAAAATCTTTGTAGTAAGTTTACCGGTATAATTGAACTGATTTCAGTTTTAATTCATTCGTTTGTCATTCTTCATTTGTAATTCAATATGTTAAAACGTTGGTTAATTCAGGAGAAAGACCAGCCTCCTATTCGCACTCGGTAAATGACAAACTTTTGTAACTTTGTTTATTTGTAAATATCTTCATGTGTTTTTATTTGTGCTTTTTTATATTCATAAAATCTTATTATAATTACAATTTTGTTTGTTATCAAATGATTACAGTAAAGATTTCGAAAACATTGTCTGCTACTATACACACATGTTTGTAAAACAATCGATAACAACAACAATAGAAAAGTCATATGGTTCAAGGTAATCTTGAGTCATTATTGTTTCTTTGATCTTTAATTGGCTTTTACTTGTCACCTGTTCAAATTATTCTTGTTTGTTTATATATAGAATTAACAGGGTTGTAAACATGTCAAGTCATCGATGTAAGGTCAAGTTTAAATGCATACTTGAACAGTAAGTTTTCAGTTAAAAGGTTGGATTTAGATTCGCGTGTATTTATTTTCGCGATAATAAAACAACCGCGAAATTCGTGAAAATAAATACACCGCGAAAATAAGTACAATTACAGTAATAGTTTCTTCGGACAGTGAGCGTTTTTTTTTTTTTTTTGTATATTTCTTGAAACTGAGTTTTTTTTAGGAGAGTGCTCTACAAGTGAAGCGAGCGGTATACTTTTTTTTTAATTGTGTGATTTAGAAGTTGTACAATTTATGTACATGTTATAACTGGGTTATTTCATAGAATAACGAGGAACAACAGATGCTCTAATGCATATAATTTGATTTATTGTACCATATCAGACTTTCTTGTCTCACTGTTGTTTAGTTAATTTTGGTTACTTTCTGCAAGTAAGCTTTGTCTATGTGAATTTTCATTTAATCCATATATGTATTTAGGAAGCATAGCAGATGCAGTTTTACAGGAGATAGTATGTTAGTTAGGTAAATGACACATGTTAAATAATAAAATTAAAATATGTGTATGTATCCAAAAAATGCCCCTATAAGATATTTGATAGTTTCCATTATATGGTAATAATTGTTTATTGTTGTAGTTCAGTGTTTCTGTTGTTCCGTTGTTTTCATTTTATAGTTGATGTGTTTCCCTCAGTTTAAGTTAGTTATCCGGATTTGTTTTTGCTCAATCGAATTATGACTACTGAACAGCTGTATACTACTGTTGCCTTTATTTATTGCCTGCTTGATATCCAGTTGGAACTATATATTTATGCATATTAAAGATAAAAAAATGAGTGAGGTGAATATTTCTTGCTTTGTACTAAAACAACATCATGAGTAAGATAGTTATCTTGCTTTACATGTAGATCCAAATATATTAAACTATTCTCTTAAAATACCTGTCACCCCTTTCACATGCATTTTTCTTACTGAGCAATATACTCTTTCCTTTTGCCCCTAAAAGCTGTAATGCATTTAAAGCTCTTTAGCTTGACTAAAAGTGGTTGAACCAGTCACACACCCCTAGTTATTATGAGCATGCCAATCACAATACGGCATCACCTCGGTCTCGTTGAAACTCTTTATATCCCCCCCCCCCCCCCCCAACAACAACAAAAGAAGAGTTCTGCTTGCATGCCAAAATACTAACCAGGGAATATGGGGTTTCATCAACATCAAATACTTCTGTTATTTTTTTTAAAGTTCATGGGAATTTACAATTCATTTCATCCAAAAGATAGATAGGTCTATCTATGCCTGTTGAAAGAAGGATCGAGGGTGAATTCATGGGAATTTACAATTCATTTCATCCAAAAGATAGATAGGTCTATCTATGCCTGTTGAAAGAAGGATCGAGGGTGAAGATGGTTCTAACAAATATTGATGTGTTTGTGGTCATCTAACGAAAGATTTTTAATTTTTGCATTACACAACATAATTTGATGAAACTTTGCAGATAATAAGGACAGATTGTATACACTGTGTAGATGTGCATATCGACAGAAAATTATGATTCAATGTTTTTTCTAGTTGTAATGCCCCTTTGAACCTAGAATTTTGACCTAAATATACTTCTGCAACAGTTTGCCATTTCCTCTGAAACCATACAACAGAACTTCATAAAACTTTGTAGTTAATGAAGACATAATATGTAGATGTGCATATCCACAAGAAATGTTAATCGGTTGCCTTTTGTGGGAGTTATAAGTCTTTTAATTTAGGACTAAATTGTGAGATTTTGTTTGCCCAGTGACAATGTGGGAGTGTGGGGTATGTGAGCTTGCTCACAAAGGCTCTCTCATTATAAGACATCTTACAGTAAATTTTTGTTTTGTAGCACCTTGGCTCATATCTCCACAAAAATTAAAAGATCTGAAAATCTTAATTTTTGCAATGGAGAACTTAAAATAAAGTTTGAAACTCTAAAGCAATCATTTAAGACACTTTTCAATGATTTTGATAACTATATCTGACAGATTAACGCGTTATGAGTAATTTGATTGAATGTCACTATCATCTTTTATTTAAGTGTCACTTGGATTCTACATAAGTCTACCCCATTTAACTTGCCACTGGATGTTCAACAACCACCATTATCATCCTTTTATTTATATCGAAAAGCTATTTGTGGATAAAACTTTTATTTGCACATCAAGTTCAACAAATTTTAATATCAAAATATCCTCATGTTGATTGTGGCTAAACAGAGCTCTAAAAAATTGATGTTAACAAAGTTGAAGGCTAATAGTGTGCACAATAATCCATCATTCTGCCTCTGAAGAAGGTCCACGAAGGACTGAAACGAGTCAGGCTATGAATCAGTACCAGGCCCTGTTATTTATGTGTGTTGATATTGTATACTTTTGATTTATCATAATTGTTTTTCCGCTGATACACAAAATTAATATGGCTTCAAATTACCAAATTTCCAATAGAGCTATTGTGTTTAGAGACCTGTTATATCAGTGTCCTCTCTTTTGCTCATATTAATCCAGGAAAGCACTTCAGAAGCATATGATTTATATAAAGTTATTTTTTTTTTATAGCATTCAGTCGATACCCCCTGCTCTAGGACCTAAAGGGTATCATCAGCTCAGTAGTCAGTATTCTGGTACTGACGTGATTTATAACATATCTTTTTAAAATTGTCCTCTCAAAATTAGGAAAATGTTAAGAAATCACTTTCCAACTCCCTGAGGCTAAGATGATCTTAAATAAATTTAGATGTATTTTTTTAGGTCGTTTAATGTCATACAGCTCTTCACTACTGTTGGTACTTATACATTCTTGGCTTTCAAAATTTTTGCTTAAATACATTCCTGACGAAGGTAAATCCAGAAAAGGACTTTGGATGCATATTATTTTTTAAGTGTTATTTTCATTTTTTATTTTTAATGAACTAAATTCATCTGTCGTTTTAGAAAGAATTAAACATATAGAACAATACCGACATTCTTATGAATAACAGATTTCATGAACTGATCAAGCTTTAAGAACAATTGTTAAGAACTGTTACAAACATCATGGAAGAGACGATCTTTTACTTGTGTTTCAAGACGAAAATCAAAGTAGTGCTTATCAGACACACCATGTTCACCATTAGCCACAGAATTT